GTGGTGCTGAGCTGCTGGCTGGGGCTAAACCACGACACTCTGCACCCCCAAACCCAGAAATCTGTGAAGATCCGGCTGTGTAACAGGACACGCGAGTCCCACAGGCACCAGCCACACCACCACCCCGTGCCCAGCCCTCGGCCGCTCCTATCTGGAGCTGTGGGAAGGAGAACGAACCACCACATACCTGAGCCAAAATCTTGTACAGGGGCTCCAGAATGAACTCCACAAAACTGCGCTGGGAACTGCTTGTTGGGGCCTTTTTAGTGAACTTCCGGCTGTTGGGGGACAAAAGGAGAGACATGAGGAGCAAGCACTCTGCAGCCTGCAAGCAGCCCTACTGCAAACACAGCCTCTGCTCTTCCCAGGTTATCTTCTCCCTCCCAGTCTCCCTGGGAAGCAGTCATGGACACAGGAGTCATGCTTACTCCAAACAAAGGCCAAAAAAGGCTCTCTGCTCCCACTTGCAGGATTGAGGAGGACCACATGGATTCACAGCAAGCAGGCGGCCTGACTCAACCCTTCCCAGGTACCACTCCACCACAGGACCATAGGACAACTCAGGTTGGAAGGGACCCTGGGTGGTCATCTGGCCCACATTTTACAGGGAAAGGAGGGAAAAACCCATCAATAAACTAATGGACATTTAAACAGGCTTCTTACGTCTTCGGGTTGAAGTAGATGTCGCCCCAAAGCCGCTTTGCAAACTCCTGATAATTGATATCTCCTAAAAGGAAAAAACAAATGATAGAAGTCTCTCAGATGTCACAGTTTTTTCTCTCATCTTGGAAATCTTTGGGTTTTGGCTTTTAAAACAACCCTGAGGATTCAATTTAATGGACCAGAGCTGGTGAGTGAATGCTTGGGTCCCAATTCAGAAAAACTGATTAAGCCCTCACCTGGGGAGACCAGGCAGAGAGGTGGGCAGAAAACAGTCCACTGAGGACGACAGCAGCAGCCCAGGTACACCGTGGGTTTGCACACTTGCTTCTCAGGAACATTTCGCCTCTCTCAATTACACACAAGGTTAGAGCTGAGAAGACCTGGCCTGCCAGACGCCACGCTGCAGGAACCCAGTTACATCTGCTTCATTTTCCAAATGTTAACGTTGCAACCTGACGCTGTAGTGGCAAGGTGCTGGGATGGCTTACACCCCATCTGCCCCGTAGGCTTATCACAAGCATTTTCTGCCTTGCTGAACATCTCCAGGTTCTTTTCTCTTTTTCAGCTGATGCACTAAGCGCATAGCCAAGTGCTGAAGGAATAGTGTAGTGCTTGGCTGTCATGGTGAATTTACAAATAATAAGACAGTGGTGATAATTTACAGCAGTTTCCAAACAAGCTTTTGCTGTGGGCAGATGTGCAAGCATAAGAAATTTCACGGTGGCTGAGGTTCTGACAGTTAAACTACTATAACTCATGTTATTTGAAGTGTGGTGGCTGCACATAAAATCCCTGGTGGCCAAAATCAAATGCTGCTGACTTCCAGTACCTGTTCAGCTCATGTCTGCCCCACACGGATGGCATCTCCCACCCACTGAGCCCTTGTCAGTCCCCCAAAGAAGGGGTATCATCCTAGCAGGCACTAAGTTAAAGCTGTGATGCCCAGGGAGCTCATTTATTTCTCCAAACTCACGAGGACACACGATAGTCCTGACGCATCAGTCCCTGACCTCTACAACTTCATCCTCCCTCAGGCTAACTTCTTTGCAAGAGCTAGGCCAGCTGCTTTACAAAATCCTTCCTCCCCTGCTCACGGCTCCTACAGATCACCCCGAATTCCCCAGTGTGAGACTTCAAAAATCTTGGCTGTACAGCTGGCTAATGCAAGCAAAAGGCCCACTTTTACAAGTGGCAGATTGCCTTGAGTGGGCACCTGGGGAACAGAAGATTAAATCAAAGCCAGAAAAAGACAGTTTCTTAAAAAAGAAAGAGGGCAAGAGTGCAAACCTTGTGGGCCAAGCTTGTGCCCGGCTGCAGCTGAGTCTCAGACTCTGAAGACTTTTGTGAAAAGGCAGGCAGAACTTAACTGCTTCGCTTCTGAGCTGTTCTGATAAGGAGGCAAAGCGCAACACATACACTTGCCTTCAACTGCCATAGCAAGACTTGTTTTTTCTGCTTAAGGGTACGTATAAAATATTGGCTTCTGACTCAAGAAACATTTATCAGGAAAAACTATCTAGCTAAAAACAAGTTAGAACTGTATTTTTGCTTTTTACCACCCATGGCTCAGATCTGCAGTAGCTCTCAGCTCCTAGAAATTCAAGAGCACATATGCTGGCCATATACGTGCAGCGAAAGCCAAAGCTGAATGGCTTAGAAAGCCTCAACAAAATAGGTTAGGAAATGAGATGTTAAAGTGTACAAGGTTTCTGGATAATCCTCACCATATGTGTCTGCATAAATCTTTGCAAAAGATCCCAGCGTGAAGCAGATGCTGTACTGCGAACTGGAGAAACACACGTTCCCCAGAAGGGGAGACAGAACGAGGTTCTCATCGGTGGAATACATGCTGAGAGGAGACAGTTTTTAGACACACACACAAAAAAAAAAAAAAAAAAGAAAAAAAAATCAACGTTATGAACCAAGGAAGACACTTAAATCCACTTCCCACACCAAACAGCAGTATGTGATAGGCAAGGATTCTACACTGCCAAATAGCATCTTAAAATGGGCTGCAGCATGCCTGCCATCAGAATTTCAGGGTCAGTATCATTTTATGACTACAAATTTCAAAGCGTTAGTGTACTGAGAAATATTTAAAGACCTAGAACTAAAACGTTACCAGCACAAGTGCTTTGTATTTTTTGTCAGGTAGAGTTTTTCTTAAAGGCAGCAAGGTTGGTCAACCAAGCAAGGAAAAAGATAATACAAGGCAAATAACGTAGGGATAGAATTGAATCAAAACAGTTTTAATGAGTTTGCAAGCATGCTAGGCAGGATAAGTTATCCTACTCCGAGCTGCTTGATGTCAGCAGCCACTGAACAGAGAGACGTGCAAGTGCAAATTCAGTTTGGGGTTATACAGGCTACGGCGCAGACACACACCCACTGAAGGGAAGAAGGCTCTTAAGAACTTCACCTGGATGCAGAACCCACAGAAACGATGCATTGCTACTGTCACAGCTAGAGAAGATGTCCCTTCCCTTCTCTGGGCAGGGTCTTGCAAGAAGATTTGACCATAGCAATATCATAGCCTCTGCTTAGGGGTTGGAACAGCAAGCTCCTGCCCATTTTGTAACCAATGTTTATGAGCTTTGAGACATCTCAGCCTAAAAGTTGGGATACAGCCTGGACAATTTCAGTTTATTTGAGATATCCGGGCGCACAGAAGTTTCCTGCTCCGGACATGTGTCCACTTTCCCTCCTTC